TCCTTCTCCTCCCCCTCCAGCGGCCCCCAAGCACCTACTCCACTGCTGACACGCATTTAAATCTGCCTCCCAAATGTCAGGTCGTTCTGGAGATGACTCTCAAGCCTGCTGCCAGGCACAGTCACCTCCCGCCTGAGTTACCAACGCTGTCCCAGCCGGGCTCTCTTTTGTATCTTGCCCCTTTCAACCCTCCCCAAGGCAGTGAGTTAGGCACTCTCCTGCTCACATCTCCGCAACAGCTTCCTAGTGCTCTTGGAGAAGTCTCATCCCTAAAGCTGGATCTCACAGCTCTTGTCCAAGCTTATCTGCTGCTGCCCCTCACACCTGCCCCTCTCAGCTCACGCGCCCCAGATGCAGCGACCGAGATTTGGTTCCCCAGTGCTTTTCCATTCCCTTCTTTCCTCTCATCTGAAAAATTCCTTTTCAACCATCAGGTCTCTCTATCACACTCCAGGAAACCTTCCCTGACCCTGAATATGGGATCCATGGCCTGCTATGGGTTGAACTGTGTCCCTCCAAAAACTCATTGTTGCCATCCGAACCCCTAACATCTCAGAATGTGACTTTATTTGGAAACAGGAACAACAGACATGTGATCAGTTAAGATGAGGACATCCTGGAGAAAGGTGGCCCCTAATCCAAAGAACTAGTATCCCCAGGAAAAAAGGATGTGTGTGCACGCGCGCGCACACACACACACACACACACACACACACACACACACACACACACACAAACACAGGGAGGGAGCCACAAGCTAAGGAACCAGCAGGTCAGAGAGAGGCTGGAACAGATCCTTCCCCGGGGCCGGAGAGGGAACGTGGCCCCGATACCCGCATGTTGGACTTCTCATCTCCAGAACGGTGAGACACTTAAGCCCCTAGTCTGAGGGGCTTTGTTACCACTGTTCTAGCCAGCTGTCACCTGGCCTACGCTGTGTTCTCAAAGCTCCCTGTGCATCCCTCGTCGGATGTACCACCCACCTGCTCGTATGGCTTCTGCCAACGGGCCTGCCACCCTCACTGTGGGATCTGTGGGCAATAAGGCCTCTGTTTCTGCTGAATGTTGGCGCTGCGACCGCAGTGCCCAGCTCCCTCCCATGCCCATGAGATGCTCAGCCAGCGGAAGAAAAGGAGCAGCGAGGGAGCAGGGGCCTCCCAAGACACCCCAGCCCCGGTCCCGGGCGGAGACTCACAGAGATGATGTGGCCCTTCAGGCCGTGGGCAGAGTCTGCGCACTCGATGACTGCACTCAGCTGGGGGTAGCCCACTCCCGTCTTGGTGCGCGTGGTGCACACAGAACCTGCAGAGAAAGAAGTTGACCCCAGAGGAGATGGTTATGCATGAGAAGACAGGAAATGCACCCCATCACCTTCACAGCCCCACCCTAGTGACCGGGTAAACCTTCCGGAGCAGAGGAGACGTAGGGAAGGGGCTCCCCATCTGCACAGCAGGGGTCGCTGAGAACCACACCACCTGGCCATGCACCCCTTCAGGTCCTCATCGCCGTCACTGGCTGAGGTCCCAGACATCACCTTCCCCTCTGCCATGCACCTGTCCCTGCCACTCTTCCCTGTGGCATCAGCTCCCATGCAGTGGCCAAACACTGACCTCTCCACATGCCCACTCTTTTCCACCTTTCTACAAACTTATACTGCTTTTTTTTTTTTTTTTTTTTTGAGACGAAGTCTGGCTCTGTCGCCCAGGCTGGATTTCAGTGGTGTGATCTCAGCTCACTGCAACCTCTACCTCCTGGGTTCAAGTGACTCTCCTGCCTCAGCCTCCCGAGCAGCTGGGACTACAGGCACATGCCACCGCACCCGGCTAAGTTTTGTATTTTTAGTAGAGACGAGGTTTCACCATATTGGCCAGGCTGGTCTCAAACTCCAGGCCTCAGGATCTGCCTACCTAAGCCTCTCAAATACACTCGGCTTTAAAGGACCTCTCGGAATCCTCCCACAGCCTCGTAGCTTCTTTACCTCCAACCTTTGTCAAATGACTCACCTCTCTTAAGCCTCACTGCCTGGCCTGTAAAATGCAGAGAAACACAACCTCCTGGGGTTGTGGCAGAGAACAAATGGCAGAGAGAGGGACACTGCCTGGCCCAGAGCCTGGCCTCCACACCCTCACCTGCTCTCACTCAGCTCTGTCCCGCACATGGCCCAGCTGCTGGTCCGTCTCCCTCCCGGCTGCTCCGCCTCAAGTCCTTCGAAGCCTAGCCCCTGCGGTTCACTTCTAGCACACTGCTCACACCAGCACCCTCCTGCCTGCCTGTCTCCCGGTCAGCCCCAGTCTGGGGTGTTCTCCCAGGTGGGTCCAGGCCAAGTCGCACTCTGGCCTCTTTATCACACCTCCCGTTATTCCAGCTTCCCGGCCGGCCGCCACAGCACCCATCTCCCAGAACAGCCGATTCAAGCGCCACCTGCTCCCTCCCTCCCCACTGTGAGTTTCTTTTCTTCCCACCTTCGGGGCTGCTCTGTACACAATGTTCTCTGTCGGACACTCCCTCTGTACCAGCCCGCCTCGTCTAGACAACCCTTCTCATCTTTCCAGCTTCTTCTTAAATGTCACGGCCCCAGGGGAGCTGTTCATCACAGTTTCAAAGACAGGCATTTCCACCAGGATTTGTGTGAGAAGGCTGAGGGTCTGTCTTCCCTGCTGGGTGGTGGGCTCCAGGGACATCCACTGTTATTATCGGGTGCTGAGAACAGGGCCTCGTATACAGTAAGGCACTATAAATAGTCACTGAAAGAATGCGTGGACTCAGGATGAAAGAGCCCCACATCCCTCTCTGCACTGCCACGTGCTCAGCCCCTCCCAGATGTCTTGTAGTGCACATAGAGGGCGCTCTGGGGACAGGATAAAGGTGGAAGTGAACTGCCCACCAGACCGTAGGTGGAACGCTCTGAGGCCCGGCCTCCTCTCCGGCTCCTGGCTGCCACCACCTTGTAGGATACTAATTCCTGCCAGGGGTCTTTAGGGACAAGACCAGACAGAGAAGCATGTCTGTGCTCCCCAGGCCTGGATTTAGCACAGAAACCAGGAGAGACAGGGCAAGTGCCTCTCCTGCACCAGCTGCGGGGCAGAATCCACCCAAGTCCTGCAGCTCCCTTCGTCTCGCTGTGTGTCACTCACAGTCCTGGAGCCAAGAAGTCTCATTCCCATGAAGGCATTGTCCCCCCGCCCCTCACCCTGCAACCAGACGTTGTGCATGGCAGAATAAGGGATTTAGCCCCTGGTTCAGCCTCAGCTTTTCTCCCCCTCTCCTGTTCAATTGTTAGAACCAGCGGTGGGGGCCTCAGCTGCAGCAGACCCCGGACTCTGATGGAAGTAAGGGTCCTACCAAGAGCAGATCACTTGCTTTCTAGGAAACAGCCAAGGAAGAAGCTTCAAAGAAGGCACAGGAGTGGTTCTGAATAACACCCAGGCAGGGAATCCATTTCTGATGCTTTTTTCTAGTTCCCAGAAGTTGCTTAATAATGAATGATATCTATCAATCAATAGACATCCAATAATGCTATCATTTAGATACGTAACCAGCAATGTTTTTACCATAAAGAATGTATAAGACTTAAATATGGTCTCCAAACAATTTAAAGAAGTGTCTCCCATGCATCAGGCTCAGAGAAGGCCCCTTATTCTCTTTAGTCACGTCTGGTCTACACAGCCAGCCAGAGGGGTAGGGAGACATGGTGACAGTGAAAGGACAATACAGCTTCTGGGGAAACAGAATGCAGACACACAGATGTGCAAGAAGAAAACAAATGCAATGAATGCTCGAGATCACATCTAGAAAAGCTTTCAGAGGGCCGGGCGCATTGGCTCACGCCTGTAATCCAGCACTTTGGGAGGTCGAAGCAGGCAGTTACCTGAGACCAGGAGTTCAAGACCAGCCTGGCCAACATGGTGAAACCCTGTCTCTACTAAAAGTACAAAAAATTAGCCAGGCATGGTGGTGCATGCCTGTAATCCCAGCTACTGGGGAGGCTGAGGCAGAAGAATCACTTGAACCTGGGAGGCGGAGGTTGTGGTGAGCCAAGATCACAACACTGTACTTCAGCCTGGGTGACAGAGCAAGACTCTGTCTCAAAAAAGAAAAAAAAATACAAGAAAAAAAGCTTTGAGAGCCAAGAAGCTTCTCACACACCTTCATGTCCTGTATAGCACCCGCCCAGCACAACGGTAGGCAGCACACACTCAATATGTATTTCCTTTGTTTTTCCTGAGACAGAGTCTTGGTCTGTCACCAAGACTGGAGTGCAGTGGTGTGATCTCAGCTCACTGTAACCTTCACCTCCCAGGCTCAGGGGATCCTCTCACCTCAGCCTCCCAAGGAGCTGAGACTGTACCTGCAGGCCACTGTGCTTGACTACCTTTTTATTTTTATTTTGTATTTTTAGTAAAGACAGGGCTTCACCATGTTGCCCAGGCTGGTCTTGAACTCCTGGGATCAAGCAATCCACCCACCTTGGCCTCCCAAAGTGCTGGGATTACAAGTGTAAGCCACCACATCAGGCCCATATTTCTGATTAAACAAGGTGACCAGTGAGTGGCCCTGCCTTTGGGAAAAAGAGGAATCTTCCTAGTCTACTACTGTATTTTGTTCTTTTTTTTTTTTTTTTTTTTTTTTTTTT